GGTTGATACAAAACCTAACCTAACCTAACCTAACCTAACCTAACCTAACCTAACCTAACCTAACCTAACCTACGTACACCTGCCTATATACAAAGTTCTTAATATATATATATATATATATATATATATATATATATATATATATATATATATATATATATATATATATATATATATATATATATATATATATATATATATATATATATATATATATATATATATATATATACTGTGATTCGATGCCTCATCCAAGTTTCAGGTAAAACCAGGTATAATCATGTATTTAATTGAGACATTAGCATTTTGGATTCCACAGGACGGATAAATTTCGAATGAGCCTTTGGGTACGGCATCAGCTTGGATGGACAGGGCTAGAGGATAGGTTGCCATATGAAGTTTCAACAATCAGGGGTTCGAGTGTTCCCAACGTCAAGAAACTATCGTACTACAGTACCCTTATCCTAACCTACCAGAAGACCCAAAACAGAAAACGGGACAGTATGTCAAATTTCGCGAGCCGCGAACATTTTCTAGTACGACAGTTTTTTTGGGTGACTTAGGTAGAATATACGTCCAAATGCTGCGACGTGTTATTTAGGAGGACGGGTTGGGCGTAGCTGCGGGGCGCCGGCACAGAGGAGAACATGAGGTGAACTGCAATTTAGTGGTTAGTGACTCGCCAGACTCTGGACATCAGTGAACAAATCCACAAGGGCCGTTATCTTGAGGTTATCTTGAGATAATTTTGGGGCTTTAGTGTCCCCGCGGCCCGGTCCTTGACTAGGCCTCCACCCCCAGGAAGCAGCCCGTGACAGCTGACTAACACCCAGGTACCTATTTTACTGCTAGGTAACAGGGGCATAGGGTGAAAGAAACTCTGCCCATTGTTTCTCGCCGGCGCCCGGGATCGAACCCGGGACCACAGGATCACAAGTCCAGTGTGCTGTCCGCTCGGCCGACCGGCCCCTTATACCGTGACGAGGGTTCGAACCTAGGTCCGAGAGCATCCCAGACGCTGCCCTTAATCTGTACATCAGTGTTCCTTGGAATCATGAGGTGCTCAGATCACCTCATTCCTCCTCTCCTAACTACCCAGGCTTGTCCTGATTGGACCTCACATGACCTCCTTATTTGACCCCTCCTCACTTGGGCCTCCTCCTCACCTGTCTGTCCTCACTTGGGCCTCCTCACCTGTTATCTCAGATGTCACTAAGATAGTCGTATCTTCCTCCCAATTACTCAACCATTTTTCCCTCTTTCCACTAGTGAGACGCGGGGGGGGGGGAATTAGTTCTTTCTCTTGCCCTCCTGCTCTTGTGTCTTCCTCTTCTTGGGTCTTCCTCTTCTTGGGTCTTCTTCTTCTTGGGTCTTCCTCTTCTTGGGTCTTCCTCTTCTTGGGTCTTCCTCTTCTTGGGTCTTCCTCTTCTTGGGGTCTTCCTCTTCTTGGGTCTTCCTCTTCTTGGGTCTTCCTCTTCTTGGGTCTTCCTCTTCTTGGGTCTTCCTCTTCTTGGGTCTTCCTCTTCTTGGGTCTTCCTGTTCTTGGGTCTTCCTCTTCTTGGGTCTTCTTCTTCTTGGGTCTTCCTTTCTTGGGTCTTCCTCTTCTTCTGGGTTCTTCTTCTTGGGTCTTCTTCTTGGGTCTTCCTCTTCTTGGGTCTTCCTCTTCTTGGGTCTTCCTGTTCTTGGGTCTTCCTCTTCTTGGGGTCTTCTTTCCTCTTCTTGGGTCTTCCTCTTCTTGGGGTCTTCCTCTTCGTGGGGTCTTCCTCTTCTTGGGGTCTTCCTCTTCTTGGGGTCTTCCTCTTCTTGGGGTCTTCCTCTTCTTGGGGTCTTCCTCTTCTTGGGGTCTTCCTCTTCTTGGGGTCTTCCTCTTCTTGGGGTCTTCCTCTTCTTGGGGTCTTCCTCTTCTTGGGTCTTCCTCTTCTTGGGTCTTCCTGTTCTTGGGTCTTCCTCTTCTTGGGTCTTCTTCTTCTTGGGTCTTCTTCTTCTTGGGTCTTCCTCTTCTTGGGGTCTTCCTCTTCTTGGGGTCTTCCTCTTCTTGGGTCTTCCTCTTCTTGGGGTCTTCCTGTTCTTGGGTCTTCCTGTTCTTGGGTATTCCTGTTCTTGGGTCTTCCTCTTCTTGGGTCTTCCTCTGGGGTCTTCCTCTTCTTGGGTCTTCCTCTGGGGTCTTCCTCTTCTTGGGTCTTCTTCTTCTTGGGTCTTCTTCTTCTTGGGTCTTCCTCTTCTTGGGGTCTTCCTCTTCGTGGGGTCTTTCTCTTCTTGGGGTCTTTTTCTTCTTGGGGTCTTCCTCTTCTTGGGGTCTTCCTGTTCTTGGGTCTTCCTGTTCTTGGGTCTTCCTCTTCGTGGGGTCTTCCTCTTCTTGGGGTCTTCCTCTTCTTGGGGTCTTCCTCTTCTTGGGTCTTCCTCTTCTTGGGGTCTTCCTCTTCTTGGGTCTTCCTCTGGGGTCTTCCTCTGGGGTCTTCCTCTTCTTGGGTCTTCCTCTGGGGTCTTCCTCTTCTTGGGTCTTGTGGTTTCTCACAGTTCTCCCCCCACCTGTTGGCTTCCACTCTCCCCCCCCCTCTCACCTCCTATCTCCTTCCCCTCGCCCCCCCTCCCCTCACATTCCTCCCCCCTCCACTCCCCCCCCATTCCTCCCCCTCCACTCCCCCCCCCCGTTATATATCATTTAGCCAAGCCAAGAAAAGGATGGTAGAAGGAGCCGGCATTTTCCGCTCCCGGGACGACATCTGTTACAGGTTGTGATGGACCAATTAGGATTTTTCTTCTCGGTAAATATCATTAGTGCTTGATGTAAGTTCTCATAAATAATAGTATGTGAGGCCAGGGGAGGGGGGGGGGTGGGTGTTCGGGGGGGGGGGGCTAGGAGAGGGGGGGGCTCTGAGAGGGGGGGTTCTGTGGGGGGGGTGGAAAGTTGTTGATACCCAAAGAGATGGTTTATTATTTGGAGTGAATCGCGCAGGCGTGGTTGGGTCGTTAGCAAGTTTGGCTGGGACGGTGATTGGCTGGACTAGTAGGGGATAGGGGGGTGGGGGATTGGGGGTCGTGGATTGAGGTGATTGGGTGGGCGCGGGCAGCGGTAAGAGGCGAATTCGAGGAGATCCGGGAACGCAGGGGGGTATTAAACGAGGCGGACCAATGAATGGCATTGTTAGGGTGGAGGAGATTCAGTGGTTTTGTTCGCCGTACTTGTGTCTTCCCCCTCAAAGATGATCTTCTACTCTCTCAACCCGGGATGCTGATTGATTTTCTAAGGTGATGAAGAGGTCGGAGATGAGGATGCTTGAGAATCTCTGAATACACTCTTTCTAAGAACGGTACCACCACCTCTGGTGCAAGTGTAGGGACCCATTTCTAGGGACTCTTTCCAGAGTATACCTGGAGAAGAGTATTTTAAGACCCTAGTATACCCCCAAAAAAGTGGTTTACCTCGTAGGTAGATAGCGTAGCTCGGCCTGGTGATGAGCTGATCAGTGAGGCTGTTGCTGGCTGCGGCCCGTAGGGCTATAGAGCTGTGACAGTTTAGTTGACGAGGTAGTTAGTACAAGGCACGTGTGCTGGTGACACCTTGTAGACGGGATCACTGGTCCTGTAATAGTTGTAGATATACTGGTAGGACCTGAATTGTGGTTGATCTGTCCATGCATTAATTCCCTCTGTCTATTTACTGAGACATCTCTCCTAGTCAAAGAGTAAATTTTTTTACCATTTAAGGTGATTTTCTTATTTTGAATGGTTTGTTTTATGTATGCGAGCAGTATATATATATATATATATATATATATATATATATATATATATATATATATATATATATATATATATACATATATATATATATATATATAGATATATATGTATGTATGTATGTATATAATGTGTGTGTGTGAGAGCTTTCCCTTCCCATAGATCCTGGTAAGCCTAACCTCACAAGTTTCCCCTGGAACACGACCCGTCTATCGGTTAACAACCAGGCACACCCAATTACTGCTGGGTGAACAGGGGCGAACGAACAGTTAAGGATTAGCGCCTAGTTAATCCTCCCTGGCCAGCAGGATCCCCCTAACAACTGGCCTGTCTTGAAGGGTCTTGTCACAGCTCAACCTAAGACATTCAATTTGTATTTCTGCGTTCAATATGTATTTTTTTTCACTCAATTTGTATTCCTGCCTTCAAGTTAGGAATGCACTCTGAAGTGGTCATAACTATTCTATAGAAGATGCACGACTGCGAGTTATTCAGATTTGTCCAAGCTAATAGGTTGAAATAGGTGAACCCGCCAAACACACACCGAAACTACGACGTTGGTACAACGTTCGAATATGATTTAACCCCTCCTAACCAGTTATAACAACCAATATAGCAAGTTGTAACAACGTTCAAATACGTCATAAACACGTTAAGCCAAGATGTAACAACTTTATTACAAGTTGTAACAAGCTGAAAATAGAGACAGTTTCGGTTTGTGTTTCCAGGGAATAGGTTATTGGTTGAAATTAACCAAGCGTCCTCGTAACGATGGTTTAGTTAGGGTGGTTTAAGCAGCTGTGGTTGACCCATGACCTTTACAAGGAGAGGAAAGAAACTATCAGGAGAAAGCACCGAGCCATTTACGACACTTATAGGACTGGGAAGGAATGGTGCCCAACCACTTGTGGACGGTCGGGGATTGAACGCCGACCTGCATGAAGCGAAACTGTCGCTCTACCGTCCATCCAACCCCCCCTTAAGTGGGTTGCGCTCTTTGCAAGGAATGGCTGAATTCCTTGCAAGGAATGGATGAATTCCTTGCAAGGAATGGCTGAATTCCTTGCAAGGAATGGAGGAATTCCTTGCAAGGAATGGAGGAATTCCTTGCAAGGATCTTGCAAGCAGCAGGAAACTTGCAATGATAAGTCTCTCGAGGAAGTTCACGGGGGAGATATTATTCTTTGCCATGTATAAATGTTAAACATTTTGGTTAAATGCCTCAAATTAAGAACTTCAGGGTTGCAATGTGCAATTTGAGGTTGAAGGGGGGATTGAATTAACCCTTGTCAGTGGTAGACAAAAACTGCTCTTGAGGTGGGAGGGAATTTGCTCCCAGGGTAATGGTAGACGGGAACTGCTCCCAGATAGACGGGAACTGCTCCCAGATAGACGGGAACTGCTCCCAGATAGACGGGAACTGCTCCCAGATAGACGGGAACTGCTCCCAGGGTAATGGTAGACGGGAACTGCTCCCAGATAGACGGGAACTGCTCCCAGATAGACGGGAACTGCTCCCAGATAGACGGAAACTGCTCCCAGATAGACGGAAACTGCTCCCAGATAGACGGGAACTGCTCCCAGGGTAATGGTAGACGGAAACTGCTCCCAGATAGACGGGAACTGCTCCCAGGGTAATGGTAGACGGGAACTGCTCCCAGATAGACGGAAACTGCTCCCAGATAGACGGAAACTGCTCTCAGATAGACGGAAACTGCTCCCAGATAGACGGGAACTGCTCCCAGATAGACGGGAACTGCTCCCAGGGTAATGGTAGACGGGAACTGCTCCCAGATAGACGGAAGGGGAGCTGTTCTCTCCAACAGCTGACACAAACCCGTTTCTTCTCCAACAGGTGAGAAATAATGAGTTTTTTATCATTATTCCCAGGTGATGGACCCTTTTTTATTATTTTTTTATGTTTTTAATAGCAAATAGGCAATCGAAAATTTTTAGTAAATAGGCAATAGCAAATTTATATCAATCCAGTACAATATGAAATCTGCTACAGCATTATTTTTTTTTTTTTTGCTCCAAAGTTGCAGACTTGAGTTACAAAAATTTACTCAAGCTTACAGAAGCACAGTGAGATTTGTAACAGTATAGAAAATACAGTTGTATAGAAAATACAGTTGTATATCCATACAAGAGAGGGAATTTATAAGTCCCTTTTTACAAAAGATACTCTTGTGTTTTAGCGAAGGCTAAAAAAAAAAGATACTCGCGTTCTAGCTACCACACAAAAAAGATACTCTCGTGTTTTAGCTGCGAGAAAGATATCTTCACGTGTTTTAGTTCCATCAGATTGACCGATAAGATGGTATTCTTGACCGGGGGTACGAAAAGCCGTGCACTTAGCGCTCAGGGTACGAAAGGCTTCGCTGTCTCACGATCGTAAACAGGTGAGGATCGGGGAAATTTTGTCGTATAAACGAAATAGATACATATAATTTGCAGATAGAGAGAGAGAGAGAGGGGGGGGGGAGGAGGATGTTCAGAGATATAGCGTTTTCGTATGTATATTGGCATTGGAACCATTCAAGCTTTACGTATTTATATATATATATATATATATATATAGTATATATATATTTATATATATATATATATATATATATATATAATATATATGGTAGCTTTATATATATATATATATATAGGATATGTCGTACCTAGTAGCCAGAACGCACTTCTCAGCCTACTATACAAGGCCCAATTTGCCTAATAAGCCAAGTTTTGATGAAATAATTGTTTTTACGACTACCTAACCTACCTAACTTTTTTTGGTACCTAACCTATAAAGATAGGTTAGGTAGGGTAGGGTTGGTTAGGTTCGGTCATATATCTACGGTAATTTTAACTCCAATAAAAAAAATTGACCTCATTCATAATGAAATGGGTAGCTTTATTATTTCATAAGAAAAAAATTAGAGAAAATATATTAATTCAGGAAAACTTGGCTAATTAGGCAAATCGGGCCTTGCATAGTAGGCTGAGAAGTGCGTTCTGGCTACTAGGTACGACATATATATATATATATATATATATATATATATATATATATATATATATATAAAATATATGTTATGTGTGTATGTTTCTTCGTTTGAGGTGAAGAAAAATAAATAAATAACTGCAGAATGTATTACATTTATTACAAACTTACACAACGTTTCGAACCTATATGGTTCGTTCTCAAGTGATGAGACATTACAAGGCATATTGGATTTATACCATAGGGAGGTCAGGTGCAGACAAATACAAATTGGTGAAGAATAAGGTGGAAAGGAATGAAGAGTAAGGCGTAAAAGTGTGAAGAATGAGGCGAAATAAAAGGGGACGAAGCACATACGAAGATTAATCAGGGGTAGTGGGTGTGGCATGTTGGGCAGTGTCTTCTATGTTTTGGTATCTTCATGTTCCGGTCTTGTTCTTATCCCGCCCCCCTCTTGCATCTTCTCTCTCTCTCACATCTACTCTCTCTCACATCTACTCTCTCTCACATCTACTCCCTCTCACATCTACTCCCTCTCACATCTACTCCCTCTAACATTTACTTCCTCTCATATCTACTTCATCTCATATCTACTCCTCACATCTACTTCCTCTCACATCTACTCCCTCTCCCTCAAGCCTCTGCTTTTTTTCCGACTTTTCACTCGACGGATCCATCTCCATTAGATGGTCTCCCCCCCTCCCCCTCATCCCCCCTCCCTCCTCCCCCTCTTCCTCCCCCCTCCCACTCCCCCTAGAACAGTG